GAGAGGGTCTTGGTGGCACCAGCGAGTTTGAATTTCATACTTAAGTTTTGCGAGTGGAAACCCAACCCCGGTGAAAGGCAGGGAGAGCTGAGAGGAGAGGCAGGGCAGGAGTTTTCCAGGCGCAGTGAAGCTGGAGACAAGTATAATTCCTCTGTAAGTGGCTCTTGGGTGGCGGCTTGCCGGCTCAGGAAGCAATCCTCTGGGTGCCCCTTTGAAGATGCACGTGCGAATTCCTGCTCTACCTTGATAACCCTAATTCTGGAACTGATCTTTGTTGTCCAGCAGTGCCAGGATTTGGTCTCGTTCAGTTCTCAGCAAGATTTCCACTCTCCCCATAGGCCATTCCATCAACTTATTATGAAAGTATTTGTTAAATACCTACTGTGTGCCTGGCAATGAGCTAGGAACAGGATGGATATAAAAATAAAAAATAAGTAAAAGCTCTTGCTTTGGGGTTGGAATGGCTCTCTTCCCCACCCCCTTTAAAAATAGTAATACAGTTGAGAATTAGGAAAGTTAGAAATCTTAATAGCCAATAAAACTGCTTGTATTATTAACAGCCGCCTTGGAGAGAGGCATGGGCTTAAGAATTTGGTTGAATATTCTTTCTGCCCATAGCAATTTAAAGGTTAATCTGACATGCTTGCTCAAGGGACTGAAATATTAAAAGCTTGGAACACTAGTTTATTAAAGTTTTTTGTCTTAAGGGTTTCAAACAATTTGGTGTAAGGAAATAGGAATTTAAAAGCTCAAGCTCAATATGATAGCAGATAGCTTTTGCATTTGACATTATGGAAAAGCTTCCTTTACTGGAAGCTACTCAGATTCTGGAATCCACCACCACTGAAGCATCTAATTCTACTTCATTTCTTCCAGAATGAGCAAAATTTCATTATGAGATTTTTCACTCTGGCAATTTTTCAAATACTTTCTCTCCTCCCTGCTCCTTTTCCTGTTTCATGGAAATTGGTTAGAATAAGAAACTGGTTGGATTTGGAATAAAGGCATGAGGCTCTTCCATTAGTGTACTTTAAGGGCCTTTTACTTTTAAATATTCTTAATGGTGTATTATTTTAGATCCTACTTCTCTGTTTTAGCTTAATACAGTTTTTCAATTAAGTATTACCTCCAAACTTCTTAGCACGTAACACCATTACTCCAGTGAAGGACAGTTTCTACTACATTTCATCCATCGTTGCAGTCTTTGTGTTTAGCACTTACATATTAATTCCTAATTGACCCCACGAGAGTTTTTAGTCTGCTTCCCAGGTTCCATTTCCCTAAAACTGGAGACTTTGGTTATCACATAGGAACATTTGAGGAAGCCCTCTCCTGGCACTATTAGTATTAGTATTATTTTACCAATGCACATGAAAATCTTAGTGAACAGATGAAAATTTGGGAGGATGTGGAAGCTAAAAATACTTGGATTTTTGCTTTGTGTTGAAATGCTGCTGCTCCTACAGACTGCATAGACTACAAGCACGGAGGTCTCACTTCCATAAGAAATACTTAATATCTCTCTATTCTGTGATGTAGGAAAATTCCAGTTTGGCTGCTTACACATGTGATTTCCAGTAGGTGAGCAAATTATTTGCTTTGTTTAGCAATGGACTATAAACATTTATTTCTTCTTGAATCACAAGTTATTGGATAATCAATCACCCTGAACTAGTTTTATTTTATTGTTTTTTAAATTTTGTGGTGGTATTTTGTTTACACCACATTTTTTAATCCTTTCTTTTCCTCCTAATCCTCTCTCTCTTCCCAGTAATTCTCAATTACTTTTCTTCTCTCGCTACTGAAGGATGGAATAGTTGTGGCATGTGTGAAGTGTCCTGCATCAGGAGCTATAGGGAAAAAGTTGAAGCGATGTGAACAGTAGCATCTTCCTAGCAGAGCAGATTGAATTAGTTGTCTGTCATTGTAATGTCTGTGTACAGCATTCTACAGTCAACTAGATTAGCCTGGATAATGGAGGGTACATTTCCTCAATGCAAAATGGCAGATAATCTATTGCTACATAATGGAAACAAGGTTCTACTTCAAATAGGGCTGACTCTAAGCAAAATTGATAAGTAGACCCTGATTTTATTTTTCAAGTCTTTCTGCTTTTGGTTGCCTCCAAAGCATCTCTTCTCCATTTCCTCAGGGATCAGTGCCCTTATGGATCACATAATGGATAAGAACAAGGAGTCAGATGGGTATGGCTCTTGTATTTACTAGCTGTGTAGCCAGGATTAAGTTACTCTTTTTGAGCCTCAGGGTCTTCACCTTTAAAGTGTAGATAATAATTAGGACATCCCTCATAGGGATGTTGTGAAAACCAAATGAGCCAATGCACACAAAATGCTTAGCATAGTATATACATACATATATACATATATATGTGCATAGCATAATATGCTGGTATATAGTATCTAATACTTAATATGTAGTTATAGTAATAGTGTGGTATCAATTGTTCATTATAACAGTTTCCCAAATCAAGGCCTTTGTTCCCAAAGAGATCTGAGGTCAGTTTCTTAGAGCAGCTCAGTGTAAATGGATCAATTTAACTTATAGAGATGCTGTTTTATGATTACTTGTGCTGAGATTCCTACATTCCAAACTTAATAATAAATTGAAAATTATTGTCATCATGTACTGCAGAGGGCAGGATGAGGAACAGGTATTGGTGAGACACAATGTAATTGGATATACATTCTTTTGGTGTCAAGAAAAACTGTCTGGAATGGTGAGAGAGGAGGTGGGAACATCTAGGACCAAAGGCAGAAGGGGAAAGCGAATTCGGAAAAAAAATGCATAGTGGAGTTGGAGGAACCATCATATGGATTATATGGGCCATGAAGGGGCAGGCTTTGGGCAGTTTGAATCCAGAACAGAGGTAGTTTCTGATGACAACCAAGACAAGCGATCCTCTTGTCTTGGCCTCCTAAAGTGCTAAATTGGTTAGAATAAGATAGGCAGATGTCATGTCTGAATGATCTTTTTATCATGTTACTGATAATTTTATCCCATTATTTTTGTGTTGCTTCCCACCACCCCAATAAGTTATTCTTTGTCACTGTCTTTACACTTTCTACTTTAATACCATATGTTCTCCTCCTTTATCTGCATACCCAGACCTAGAGCTTTGTTTTTGTTTTTATTTGGGAGGGGGGATAGGGATAGGGATAGGATGTCATTCTGTTGCTCAGGCTGAGTAGTATCATGATAGCTCATTCCAACTTCAGACTTCTGGACTCAACTGATCCTCCTGCCTCAGCCTCTGAGTACCACCATGCCAGGCTAATTTTTTTTCTTTTCTTTTCTTTTTTTTTTTGAGACAGAGTCTCACTATGTTGCCCTCTGTAGTGTCGTGGCATCACGGCTCACAGCAACCTCAAACTTCTGGGCTTAAGTATTCTCTCTCCTCAGCCTCCCAAGCAGTTGGGACCACAGGTACCTGCCATAGTGCCTGGCTATTTTTTTTGTTGTTGCAGTTGTCATTGTTGTTTAGATGGCTTGGGCTGGGTTTGAACCCCCAGCCTTGGTGTATGTGGCCAGTGCTCTATCCACCGTGCTATGGGTGCTGAGCCCTAATTTTTCTATTTTTTTTTTTTGTAAAGGCAGGGTCTCCCTATGTTGCCCAGGCTTGTCTTGAACTCCTGGCCTCAAGTGATCCTCTTGTCTTGGCCTCCTAAAGTGCTAAGATTGCAGGCATGGGCCACCCTGCTTGGCTTGCAGATCTTTGGAGGATTCTTTTTCACCATTGCTGAGTAGGTGTAGAATAAGAGCATTTTATTGCTATAAAAAAACTTAATCTAGTCCCACACTCTTTATGGGTAATCTAACCTTTAAAAGGTGAAATGATATACCTAAGATTTTTTCCAGTGTCTTCATTTTCATAATTTATATTCAATGTTTTACTTACGATGCCTTCTGTTTACTTTGGAAAGTATAGTGGAGAGTGCCTTAAGCATCTAATTACTAAGTGTTAGGTACTCTGCTAGTTCTAGGAATGGATTTTTGAACATTGTTGGCCCTAGGGTATTAGGGAAGATTGACCTTAAATTTTTGGTTAGTGGGTATCATTCCCATTCTTAAATAATGATGGAAAGATATTCTCTCCATATTCCTTTGTAGGATGGGGTGACAATTTTTCTTTTTTATGACTCACATGGCGTTGGTTGGACCCTGTGGATATTGTATCAAATACGATGTTCTCTTTTGCAAGTGATGCAAACTTAACTGCAGCTTATTTCAGCCAGAGGGGAATTATTGGCTTATACAATAACTACTACACATATACCACAGGAAAGATAGGGCAGAGGTGGTTTCAGGAATGACTGGAACTGGAGATTTAGGGTCTTTATACCCATATTATTTTGCATATTGATCTTATTCTATCAAATTGGCTCATTCCATGAGATGAGTAAATGGCCTTTACAACTAACAGCCCACAAGCTGAAAGGAAAGCAGGCATTTTCCTAGTTCCCATTTGAAATCCTAGGGAATTCTCCATTTAATTCAGCTTGAAACTTGTCACTATTCTTTAAATTAGTCATTGTGGCTAGGAGATGAGGTTCATTGACCCATTTGTATCACAAAACCTCCCCAAAGACTGGTGTGTTGTGTGTGAGGTCAGTAACTGGAAGAGGGGAGCCAGCATAGAGTTCCTGGTGCACC